AGAGAGCATTCCGAACACGCGTCACGTTCGCCACGGTTTTAATCTCATTGTAATCTGCTACCACGGGACGCGCTCGTGAAACTGGCGAACCGAAGAGCCAACTGTCTTGTCCGTTTGCACGTCTAACTGTACACACGCTGCTGGCTATGTTTCCCGGGTGCACGGGACTTTTCTGCGACGATTCTACGAAACCTTGCACTTCCGTTCATACCTGAAATTTTACATTTGTGTGTTAAATGGGACAGGATTATTGCATCAACGTGAATGGTAGCAATTTCGCGTGAACGATCGACCCAGATTCGATGATCGACGTTTCGAATAAACGTCGCTGAAAGATGAAGAACGCAGTAACATGCGCGTGTGTGTCGTTTATGGTCTCTGGGGAGCGGATGATCGGATGATCGGATGATCGGGCAAAGAAAGGATCTTTCTCGACGATTCCAGCGATCGGGAAATGACTCACAGTCGTTCGCGTCGATCGCGGCCCCTCGAGAAACGATCCTTCCTTGAATCGGTGGCTTGACAAAGAACTTAGGAATCTTGTCTCGCGATTCCCTGGACGGGTGACGATTGGACGAACGAGAAGTTCGTCTAATAAGTCAACGATTTCGTTTTTTTTTTTCAGAGACTCCCGCGTGCAGAACGAAAGAAACGTGTTCCGTGTGTCGTACGAAATATCCAGTTTTTCTACAATTTGACATACATACCTGAAAAACTGAAATGTTTCTCGACGATAAAGCAACGACATTTCACACGCAGTAAGGTGGATGCACCAGTAAATGAACACGTACCGGTGAATGAACATTATACATAAGAGAAATATATGGATTTTAATAGATACCTCAAAAATCACATATTTTTCCAGGTACTTTTGAAAATAAGCAAATCATTAACTATTAATTTTCTTTAAATTCCTTGTTTCATATGCGAACAATGTTCGCGCCACTCTGAGTAGAAATATTCATTTACTAATTGTTCATTCACTGGTAAATTCTGTAGTTTGTGTTCTTAATTTAATGAAATAAATTTTTCCGATTTTTCCAAAATTGAAATCTATAGGAAAAATATAGATATGTATGAAAAAATCTAGTTTTTATACGGCAAATACTTATTACTATTATTACCATTATTACCATTTAAAATTTAACTTTAATAATTTGAAATTTTGTTCTGTGTTCGTTCAGCGGTACGTTTACTTTGCACATCTAGATATACGATCCGACTTAACCGTCATTTGCATCCATAAAAACGAGAGAAGATCCACGACTTCGGGATCGTTGCAGGCGTGAACAATAACGATCCCCAAATAGATAATCGGATTATCTCGTCTCGCCACGCAATCCGGCGACGGAGACGACGAACTTTCTCGTTACGATTTCTGCCACCGTTGGCGATTCAATTACAACAGGTGAGGTACCTTCGGTGGAACAACAACGGGCATCGTCCGGCAGAAAGAGTTGGGAAATGGGTTAATTGTCTTCTAAAAGATCCCCTCTCGATTCCCCAACAACACGAGCGAGAACGGTCATTATCGTTCTCGTGGATAAGTAAATAAATTGCGTGTTCCCTTGCTCGTTTCTCGCTTATTACCGTACGATCTTTTTGTTCCGACGTGGTTTTTTTCGGCAAAATCCTACACAACACACCTCTTGGCTTCTCAATTATTCTTCCGATTCAACCGCGGGACCTTAAACCGAGATAGAGATTCCAATTCCACGATCCTCTCTCGTTTCATAATGGGAATCCCATTTTCGTGGATCATAAAAAACACAGTTACACACGGATCTGCATAGTTCGATCCTGAAATCCCTCCAAGAATCCTTACTCATTCGTCGAATTTTTTTGGCACCCACCTCTAAATGATCACCATCACGCGAGAAGTTAATTCTATGGGAGACTACGAACGGTTTTTCGAACCAGACGAGACGATTGTACACTTTGGAGGATGGTCCACGATCATCTGTAAATTGTAAATTCGTTTCGATATCCATTGGATCATTATTATAGCGGATATAACGTAAAGAAAAGTAAATCACAGACGGTTCACCCCGTACGGTTCTTGAAAGCGCGCGACTTTCAAAATTCCTCAGGACGAAGCACCGAAACGATCAAATGGCCCGGTATCATCTGATGCTTAGACGCCTGTTCGTACTCGTATACGCCTGCACTCGGAGCAGCAGCGAATTTCTTTTGGAGCACAAACACACTTTCGTGTATTCGAAAGTCCGTAATCCTCAGGCAGAAAACTTAACCTAAAATTCGTGAAAGTCTTACTCTCGGGAAAGGACGGCGATTTGTCAGGCCGGTAACGAGATCCACGTTTACCGAATCGAACCGCCTCCTCTTTATCCTAACGACGATCCGTTTTCCCTTTTTACCGTCCGCCTTAACACGATCGTTCCGGTCAATTTTTTTGTCGATCGACACTTGCGGCCTACGATTCTTTGATCGATGAAACGTTTGTGCATAATATGACAGCAAGAAATCGGTCCTTGTCGGTTGAGTCGGTTCTTGCTGGCTGCTGTATCCATTACACCTGTTACACGGTGGGTGGATCGCGATGGAAAGCGAATCGAACGAATTCTGTGGCCTGTTTTTCTTCACCGATCGATCCAAAAAAGGAGAATTGCTTCGATCAACGCTTTGGTCTGAAAAATATTAACCAAGTACGAAAGTTTCGATGAATCCTCGATAGAACGTGGGAACTTCTTTTTCTTCATTGTCCATGCGTTTTTCATACGATTCCGTGAATATCTTCCGTCTTACCCTCGGCTGATTAATTCACCTGGGCAAAAAAGGCTTGACCTTTGGAGCTCTGGAGAGTATGAAATCATTGGTTGCTTTGACCGCTACTTCTTTCCCAAGTGGTTCGTCCATTTAAGATGCCGTCACACACAAACAGGTGAACCATCCGTACACAGAGTACCCCCGGCCCATAGTTTCTGCAATTTGTACTAACAGAACTTTTACGCTTGCCTCGGTGCAAATACCCTCTTCGGGTAACCGGTAATTTCTCCTGTCGAACACGTGCGTCGACATCTCCGTAACGAGAGGTATTTACCTTCGTTCGAGTAGATACCATCTCTCTTCCCCGTGGTCATTTCGGTACACGCTGTGACGGTCTCGTACACGGACATCCGTGCAAGAGTCTCCACGAAGGTGCTAAGTTCCACTGTGTGTGTGTTAAGTTCTTCTCTTGGTGAGATCGTTAAGAGCAGTTATAATTCGACCGAGTTGTGGCTGAACATCAATTTTTCTTTCTCCGCAGTATTATACTCGCATCAGGAGCAGCCTATAATAAATTTCCTCGCGGTCGCTGCCAGATTGAATTAAACAAAGGACAAACCCAGACGCCGTGATGAAAGAATCATTTCACGTGGTCGCTGTATTTCACGCGGCGAACAGGAAAAAGTAACGGCGGCAGACAGAAACGCGTGTACGTGGGGAGAAAGTGATTGGTCGGTCTTAGTTTTTTTTCGAAACCATGCCAATCGATCTCACCCGATGGCACGGTGTCAAGACGATCCAGACGGTTTATCTTGTCGCAGAAAACCGACTGAATAAGCGAACAGTCGAATATACCTAATGCCAACGAAGAACCCCTTTCCCCCCCGCCCCTCCCCTCCCGAAGACCCCCATCGCGATGTATATAACATTCATTACGGCTCTGCCTCCACCGCGGCTGGGATGTCCTTTTAAGATCGCCGCATCCGCTGAGCCTTCGCTTGAGATCTCTCAGTGATGTAGCCTCCGTCTCGAAGCCTTGATAACAGAATTGCGAAAGGACCGACTAAATATTGCCTCGATAAATATTTCTTCGTCCTCCACGGGAGGTTGTTCTTGGAGAAGCGTTCGTGAAGTATTGTATTTCAAGATTTTTACACTTTCAACCGGACATTTCTAGATGGAATAGGTAAAAATTTATTTGTTTAATATAACTGTAGTCTGCCGTTAAGATCAACAATGTTGAGAGAGCAAGGTTGGTTGATTCGTTACTTGTTTTTTCAAGTGATTTCTATGGAAGATGTGCGATAGATTACTCTACTGGTTGGTACAGCCCTGACCAATAAATCTATCAAGCCCTTTTCCAACTCTGCCGGGAATTCCTCTTGTTCGTTATCGAATCCCGGTCTCTTCCCTTCGATTCAAAGGAACGTCTAAAACTGGCTTCTCGAATGGATCGATTGGATGCGCTATTCCTGGTGCTGATTAATTCCTTTATAATCGAAACGCAAGTCTTTAAGTTTGTTACTCCGTACGAAAGGCAAAAGAGAAAACAAATGCGAACCTTACATTGCGATTCTTGAGACCCCGGGACTGGAAAATAGTTGGCGCCGAACTATTTAACGTATCTTAACGATTTATATCACAAAAAATTGCTCCCAATTTGCTCCTTCCGAATCTGAAATTGCTCCCACAGCACCGTTAATAGTTAATGAGATATTCGCAAAAGAAAAAGCAAAAATTTGTTGTTAACAAAATAGGTAGTAAATGGCCTTTTTACAAAAAATATTATAGCACCAAAAATTGCTCCTGATCTGTTTTATAATAATCAATAGTCAGATATCTCAATAACTTTGCTCGAGAGGGTACATCTCACACACACGGGAACCCTGATGCCTACGCCGGGGGTCATCTATGACCCCCCGATCTCACCAGACGGGGTCTCTGGCGCCTCCACCGGGGGTTCTGTGACCCCACGATCTCACCACGCGGGGTCTCTGGCGCCAGCTCCGGGGGTTCTATGACCCCCCGAGCTCACCACGCGGGTACTCTCTGGCGCCAGCTCCGGGGGTTCTATGACCCCACTTTCTCACGCACTGGGTCCCTTACTACGACGGTGTAAACAAGATACAAAGTAGAAACAGATGGCTCGAGAATACGACGTGTGTGTGCGATGGGAGCAATTTCAGATTCGAAAAGAGCAAATTGGGAGTAATTTTTTGAGATATAAATCGTTAAGATACGTTAACTTTATTTATAAACGCATTAAACATGTACAGTTACGATGCTATAATATATGTGTATACTTCAATAATCATAGGATCCTTAAGACATAAATTAAAACTCCATTTTCTTGTCTGGAAAATAAAAAAAAAGCAACATGTGTACTAACACATTTTACTGAAAGTACAACGGGACACGTACCGCTCTCTTTAATTTTTTGCCCCTTTCTCTCGGTCTCCAGGTTCCAGAGAAATTCCTGAAAGATGCGTAGCGATTTATTCAGGCTGGTCTTTTTATAGTCCTTTATTCTCTTCACGTTCAGGTCGTACGTCTCCTGCTCGGCCTTGTCCTTCGCGTCGTACTCGTTTATCTCCTCGATCAACGTTGTAATTGTCGGTACTTTCCCCGGCTGAAACTTATCCACCGTGCTCGCCGTGAACGGTATGCAAACCTTCCCGGTTTTCGGATGAACGCAGAACGGGGACTTGAGGAGATGGTTCATTCCTTTGCTCACATTTATATCTAATCTTGGATAGGCGTACTGTATCATTGCTTCCTCGACCAAGTGGCGTGACTGATACCACTTCTTGTCTCCCTAAAAAAGAAACACGTCGAATATCTGAAATTGTTCTCTAATAACTTTGCGGATCTTATAATAACAGTGATTATTGTACCGTCGTCTTCTTGCTCTTGATATATTTCACGAACACGTTCCACCTTTCTTTGCTGGATTTACATTGACCAAAGAGGCCTTTCAGTTCCTGTCTGTCCTCCTCGTCCGAGACGATCTGCAGAAATTTCTCCATACCCTCCTCGGTCCCTAATATATTTTGCTCTTCTATACAAAATGGAACAAATACAGATTCTATTGTTTCCAGGGCACGTCTGAAAAAGTTGTTACGGTTTACAGTACAAGTTATTTGTCGATTAAAAACAATTTCATTCTACTTTTATATACTTGATGGAGTGATGTATTCTTTCTCCAGGTAGATTCACTTTCTTCTTCATGTACTCTCCACCGTCTATGATCTGTAGATACTCTGCAACAGCTGCACGCTCGTAAGAGGTCAGAGTACGTGCACCAGGATCGCATACCCAGCAATGTATACCTCTTCTACCAGAAAATACCCACAAAATATGCTTGTATCCAAAATCCACTGAAAGATTTAAAATCTCTCAGATTAAAATCTCTCAAAAGATTTTAAATCAATTTATATAATTAATTTAAAGATGGTCAACTCTGTATTAATTATACACTTACTCCTTAACGCATTGTCTAGAATTTTGCAGGCAACTACCATGAACTTCCAGCACTTAGAACAGATATCTGCCCCACTGCAACAAGATCTCACTTCGTCGTAATCTGTCATATCTATATCAAAGACCAGTTCCCTCTCCACAGGTTGAAAATTTGAGCCTTTTCGCTGATCCTTTGGACTGTACACAACAAAATCATATGTCTATTCAGTAGCACAAGGATTAGCAAGTACTCACCAGTAGTTATACACTGCTCCAATATCTATCTTGAAAGGAACCAGTCTCTTAATCTCACTTTCCAGATCCTTTACACCTTTGAACGACTGAAACCGAATGTAGATATCATCCTGCAGAGTGAATGAAAATTCTCTGCGCGTGAAGATATTCCCTGAAACCAAAATTCATTTAGAAGTTACTTTAGCCTGTCAATTTTAAAGACTGGATATGTCACTGACGTACCATTCCCGTAACTGAGCCACCGATAATAGTCATGGAAAGGGAATAATCGCGCATAGTAAGTCGGCAATAAGTCAGCCAAATTTGCCAAGTCTCCCATGTTATGGTTAACTTGTTTAAAATTGTTTATTATGCTATTCCTTAACCGTAACCCATAGATTTCAGTCTCGTCATTTAAAACACTCGGTTCATGGCATGATGTTGTGGCGGGAAAACAGTACTACCGTTAATTAAATGCTTTAAAGATAGTGATTTATCAATCATTTTTGGGAGGTGATCGTGTGACACTGTAGGGGACGCTGCTGGAACGTCCATAGACCATGAAAAATTGGCATCAATTTTGAACGTCCAGCAACGCATACCGACTACCGACCCGACCATTCAGTTCTATACTAACCGGAGAGCTCAATGATATACATACATATGAAGAATACAGAGAGAGATGAGATTTAGAATAAACTAATCATCTTATGGGACCTTAAAGATGGTGGTGTAGCAATTATTGATCAAATCATTTGTTCCTATGCCAGGTAAATATTAATAATAATAGTATTTAATTTTTTTATCGCGAATAAAAACAGTGTACAATATGTATATTTTTCTAGGTACTTCTTGGGAACATACGAATCAACTTTTACCTTTAGGATACAAGAGGATAGAGAGATCATTGGTTTCCCCACTGAAACAACATTTAATGTTTTATGTAAAGATACTAAGAAATGTGGCTCAAATGGACAATGGGAAATTGTTTGGTAATATATGAAAATGTAAACTAAATGTAAGTTGTATTGCAAACAATATTTGTTTAAATATATTGCTTTTATGTACACTTAATCAGTTTTCCTGGTGTAAGTCATTTCCCTCAGTGGTCGCTCTTTCTTAACTCACTACAGGTTTACCAATTAATTCTTGTTCACGACGGATCTCCTGCTCCCGCTGCTGTTCCTTATTCAAAGCCTCCTTCTGTTTCATTTGTTGTAACCTTAATGCTCGTTTCTATACAAGTAAAAGAATGTATGATGTCCATGAAATCCACAGATAAATTATACTTACTTTTAATTTGAATGTTCTCTCATGAATGGAAGCCATCTCTTTTTTCATTAGAGTTAGTTTTCCTTGATAAACTTTTATCATTTGAAACTGCAATACATATTTTCTTGCACATTTTATATTCTACATCTTGTGTATATTATGTATTTATACTAAAATTTCACGAGGAAGCCTTTAATTAGATCAATAAACATTCGTCTGTTAATGTAAAATCTTACCGTTTCATTTAAATCAATATCTTCCAAACTTTCTTGAAGTTTTTTGGTTTCAACTTGCATCTGACAGAGTAAAGTTTCTTGTTTACCCCTGAAACAACAATAGTAAAGAACAGAAATGCAATAAGTATATTTATCTATTGTTGTCTCTTACGTTACTTCGTTCAGTTCTTTCTGAACTTGTTCCGATGGTAACTGATAAATATTTAAAAGCCCTATGGCCAATTTCTTTGTGGCTTCTGAGTAGTGTACTTGATCATCTTCGCTATGTAATAAAAAGAAAACTAGGTAAGTATATGCTCTGTATTAAAATGCACAAACATAATTTAATCATAAAAGAAGTAGGTTACCGATCATGTCTCTCAATTTGTGATTGAACATGTTTCACTTCTGTTTCTTCCATATCAGTCTTAATTTTAAATATTTTACTATTTATTCTTCACTATGACATATGTAAACGAAGAGTATGAAAATTTTAGTTAAATTTGAATCGGTATCACGAATTTGACATTTGTCGAACAGACATATTGACGATAATAATAAAAAAATAGATAACTCATTCGAAAGAAGCACTGTCCGAAACCATAGTAAAACACAACAGTAGAGATTCCGAACAGAGAAACCACGCTGTCAGAGCGAGACCAAAGATACTAAAATTCCCGGCACATTTAGTAAGAATACGTTGGTTTTTCCTATACCTGTAATGTGTAAGACAAGGAGAGGCGTAGGTGTGCGACAAGGACAGAGATAGTATTGTCCGTGCCACCTACTCTCAAAACAGATTCATAAACTCCTGGTACGTATTAGGAGAACATGATGAACGAAGAGGTATTGGAGAGAGAGGGCGGTATACGAACGTCGAACGTGCGACAAGGATAGACGATTTCTGCGCTCCCACACTTTACCAAATAATTCTGTTCTTTTTCTACCTTTATGATTAGGAGTATAGAATAACCGAGGAGGTTTTAGACAAGAAGGTCCAATTATAGTACGAGACAGAGATAGTAAACTCCCGCCAAATCTTATAACCCAAACAAGCGTTAGAAAATTTATAAATATCTCAAGATTCAATAACAATCCATAACTATTTTCAACTAAGGAACATAGAACAGACTCTAAGCAACATTCACATATCATGTTTCGACAACTTTGCAATCAAATTAAGTAATTATTAATCATTTTCTGAAGTGTTGCACTAGAATAACATAATATAAGTGAAAACCGACCACATTAATCATTGATTTATTAATTGAAGATGTACATTTAGTGTACTTTTGCAATCCAAGAATATAGAATGAACCTCTAGCTAATATCCCATTCCTCTTTCGAACAGTTTCGAGGTCGAATTAATTTGTTATGTGCAATTCTTTACTACGTTGATCGCAATAACCTCACACAATTCGACAGTCTTCCGTATTATTCATTATTTTCCTACTTTTGCGTCACAATTACTGATTCTATGTAGTTAAAAAGTCTAGTGCGGACCTCTGAGAACCTTGACATAATAATTTGGAATACGAATTATTCGTTATTAAGCAGTTATTAACAATTTTAGCAAGTGTTACCTTCTCTCCAATGTCAGTAATGTGTAAGACAAGGAGCGACGATACGTGCGACAAGGACGGAAATAGTATTGTACGTGCCACCTACTTTGAAAACGGATTCATGATTCCCTGGTACGTATTAGGACAACAGGATGACCGAAGAGGTAATAGACAGAGAGGGCGCTATACGAACTCCGAATGTGCGACAAGGATAGACAATTTTGTGACGAGTAGCTTTAGTAGTGAAAATCGGCTGTTTTTCGACCCCAGGTATCAGGAACATAGAATGACGGAGGAGGTAGAGGAAGTTTTAGACAAGGACATTTGGTCTATAGAGTGAGACAGAGATAGTAAATTCCCGCCAAATTCCATAACCCAACTAACGTTAGAAAATTTATAAATATCTCAATATTTAAGAACAATTCATAACTATTTGCAACTGAAGAACATAGAACAGACCCCAGGCAATATTCACAACCCAGTTATCGGTACCCCTGCCATCGAATTAATAAGTTATTAATGATTATCGGAACTGATGTTCAAGGATCGCATAGTGTAAGTGGACACTGGCCACATTATTCATTAATTTATTAATCTAAGATGCACATTTAGTATACTTTTGCAGTCTAAGAATGTAGAATGAACCTCTAGCTAATTTCCCATACCCCTTTCGAATAGTTTTGAGGTTCAATTAACTTGTTATGAATAAGTTTTTACTACGTTGATCGCAGTAACCTCACGCAATTCGATAGTCGCCCGTATTATTCATTGTTTTCCTAGTTTTACGTGACAATTCGTGGTTCTATCTTGTATAAAATTCTAGTATGCGTCTCTGGCAATCTGTATGTAACACTTTGGAACACGAATTGTTCGTTATTAGGTAATTATTAACAATTTCAGCAAGTGTTATCTTCTCTCCAATGCCTGTAATGTGTATGACAAGGAGCGACGATGTGTGCGACAAGGACGGAGATGGTATCATGCGTGCCACCTACTTTAAAAACGGATTCATGATTCCCTGGTACGTATTAGGATAATAGGATGGCCGAAGAGGTATTAGACAGAGATGGCGATATACGAACGCCGAACGTGCGACAAGGATAGACAATTTTTAGACGAGAAGCTTTGGCAGTGGAAATAGGCGATTATTCGGCTCCTAGATTGAAAATTTCTAGTGATGGAAAAATGCAAATATCTCAGTAATTAAGCACTTAATATGAACGTCGTTAATCTCAAATTGTACCTCGGGACTTAATGCATCGACCCAATAGTGCAGAAACCCTGAATTAGTCAAAATTAGTTATGCCTGTATTACCGTAGCCTCTTATGAGGCGACTACCGTCATTACAAAATATTACGATCGCATTTACACCGCTAAATGGGCATGATTCTTCTTCGTTTTGCATTAGATACAACGTTTAAAGAACGTAGATTACTATTCTCTAACGGCTGGAAACCAGTAATTACAAGAACATTGTTAAAATCACGTTTGTTTGCAACGGTTGACACTGTATCTCGTCATGCGTACCCCAGTTAGTTCACTTTGAATAGCTCGTACACCATTATACGGACAGCTTTCGGTTAGCTGAAGCACCCAATTTGTAGCTGAAAGTACGTAGATTAACCCACTGTTATTGATAATACCAATAAACAACCAGAACACTGTCAAAATCGCAATTTAATTGCGTGATACCACTATTTTTTTGACCGGTGGCGCCATCCGTGGCGAATCGGTGAAACTGCTAACCAATTATATGGCTAGCAGTTTCAGCGATTCCCCACGGATGGCGCCACCGGTCGAAAAATATAGTGGTATTCCGCGATTAAATGCGATTTTAACAGGGTTCTGGTTGTTTATTGTTATTTTCAATGACATGGGATTAATCTACGTTCTTTCAGCTATAAATCGAGTATTTTATCTAGACGAAAGTTATCCGTATAACGGTGTAAGAACTATTCAAAGTGAACTAACCCGATTACGCATGACGCAATACAGTGTCAACTGTTGCAAACAAATGTGATTTTAACAATGTTCTTGTAATTAATAGTGTCCAGCCGTTAGAGAATAGCAATCTACGTTCTTTAAACGTCGTATCTAATGCAAAACGAAGAAGAATCATGCCCGTTTAGCGGTGTAAATGCGATCGAAATATTTGGCAATCAGGTTGTCGTCCCATAAGAGGTTACGGTTATACAGGCATAACTAATTTTATTAATTCAGGGGTTCTGCACTATTGGGTGCATGCATTAAGTCCTGAGGGACAATTTGACACTAATGACGTTCATTTTAAGTGCTTAATTACT